CCGCAAGGCCGCATCCAACACGGAGGACGAAATCGCGGCCATTGATGACTCGGAAGCGGACTGCCAAACCATTACCGCACTAATTACGACTCTCAGTGGTGCTAATTGTGGGGCACATGCAGTCGCGTGGCCACTACGAACTACAAGGGCTACGTAGTATGTACATATATCACCCTACTCTGCGGTTACCTCTAATGAAGGGTTCTAGACAGAATCCGAAACGTCAGGCACATAGACTTCTAATGCCAGCAATCGCATATTCTACTTCAAATATTTGCATCATGTCGACCCAGCAATCCGCACAAGGGCCCAGCCAGTTCGAAAAGTGTCAACAGAATGGTAGAAAAAATCACGCAGGCCTAAACAGCGAACGCCCATTGCTAAAAGAGGGGGCGCCACACGTGACTAAGTTGGCACCGGCGTGCCCGCGAGGCCGAAAGGACTGCGCTCGAGCACCAACGACCGATCAGGCTGCTGGTTGTGAAAGGGTCGGCCAATAAGTACGCCGACTTGGCTGCAGCTACAACAGCTGCAAGGGGTACGCAAATCACACGAACCCGCCAAAATTCGATCTAGGAAAAGTGGAAACTAGCCAACGGTAAACGAGCAGGTCAAAGCAGGGAAGTTAAGCACGTTTATAACACGAGACAGGCGACGAGAGTGAATCAACCAAGGCCACCATGGGAAAGCAATGCATCACACCCGATACTGAAACGAGAGATTCTGAAACATCAGCATGGGGACAATACAAGGAAAGGTCCTTCTCTCCTTCGGTGGATCTTTAGTGGATACTGAAAAAGGGCGCTGTTCGTATAGACTGAGCTTGGCTTTTGAACTATCTGGTTGCTAATAACAGTTTTTCATTAGATACAATGAAAACAGGGGGGTAGTATTATTGCATGCAGGGAAGCCCCTTAGGTCGAAAGTGACTTCTGGGCAGTTAAGTCTCCTGAAAACTGTCCGAATAAAGTTATCCTACTGCACGCCCACCTAGCGGAATAGAACCATGAGGTTAGCCACACCCTAATTATGGTACAGCGTTCTGACCTTCGGAAAATCGGACATTAATAAACACAATTATATTTGACTTTACATTTTCTAGTCCTTGAATTCAATTTATTTATCTCTGCCAAGCAGAATATTAGGAAACAGAACGTCCAGTAACGTGAGATGGCAGAAGTGATTTATGTAAAAATGTGGTTTATTGAGAACTCTTCTGCAAACTTCAAAATATCATTCTTTTGTAGGGCTCTGATGTACAAGTAGCCTTATGTAAACTTAGAGAAGTCCTACTGTTGTAAGTTGTAAAACAAAGTAGGACTGCAATTCTGAGACCTTGAAACAAAAAGCCTTGAAAGTTGGACTCCTGTTATATGCTTTAAAAGTGTTTGCGAAGGGGGTCCAATGTTTTTTTCTCGGACTGGGAGGATTGATCCTTTTTTTAATTCGGTATTTCACATAGACATTTGAATGATAAAATATTGTTTCCGTTTTGCCAATGCAAGGGCAGCTCTTATTGCCCTAGGCAGTCGGTACGTTCGAAAACCCACAAACAGAAACCCTTTAGTGATTTAAAGGTAAACTACGCTTACTACAGTGGGAAGGACACCCACTTACCATGAAAACTGTGTCCAGTATTCGAAGGCCCAAAAGGGCCATTAAACCAAGCTCCTCATCCCCAATTTTTTCAGGCGTCATTGCAAACAGAATCACGTAGGACGCGTAGACTACAAACGCCACGTATGTAAGCTGTCAAATAAATACAATCAGAGTATTAATCTTTGTCGCAAAAACGATTCGTCTGTAAAACAGGAAAATCTGCTATACAAGCTAATTATTTGGCGGAAATATGCGCCATGCTACGTCAAACCTAACAAGCGGAATAAAGATCCAGCAAGATGTAATTAATTTCCTCGGGCTTTCGTGTGGCTTCCTGATTCTATAACCAGAACCAATGAGAAAAAGATGGGACTAGAAGTGGAAATTTATATCCTGGATATCTGTTACGGCGTTGTGTCACTGTAGTTAAATAAGAGAGTTTTTGGAAGGTAGGCACGACACTTGGAGCCAGATTGCTTCTTTTAACGGGCCATTCGAGGATTGGCAACGCCTATTGCTTGGTTGATCTTGTTTCTTACGTTATGCACGAGGCGTGGACCTAAATGTCAGTCCGCAAATCCATACAAATAAACTACCTCATGCGATGAATGAAGTTTCATTCCGATCTTTAAAATATGCAGTTCCTGTGATGCCTCTCTAGCAATCGATTCGTGAGAGATTAAGTATCCAAAGGAAGTGGACTTCGCATAAAATGTAAACAACTTTCCGGAAAAAAATCTTTTAGGTTTTTAATTTTTTGCACAACTAGGCTAGGACAGAAACTACAAAATTGACGGGACTGTCTGTTCGGCTGACGAAGTCAAATAACAGAAAAATTGTCAGGTCAATCCTCACTCTGCTCGTCATCGGTATCCTTAAGAGCCACGCTGGCCTGTTGCTCTCCGAGCTGAGAGGCCTCCTCAAACCCTATGAGATACTGCCGCACTCTGTAATTTAGGCAACCGTTTGCTGTAAAGGGTAAAAAATTACTACCAAAAAGAAAGTTATTCAACTTACTAAACCGAAATGATGTTTCACTCGAGGACTGTTGTAAAATCGGTAACATCGTGCAAAGAAGTTGTTTGGGAGGGATGAAACTTTACTATCGCGGTTGTAGCTGAGAGAAAAGAGTTCAGTCTTGCCGAATTGCACAAGCTGGGGTACGTAGAGAAGAAAGGGCAGGAGCATGCAAAAGAAGATTGCAAGAGGACTGCAATGGATGTTGCCAGTCCACATGCTCTCGATCGCCTCTTGTGCAGGCAAGCTGCTCATAAAGTTGGTGCAACCTCCCAGATAAGCCAGTTCGAGGACAATTGGAGAGTACCAGGCCCTCATGTATGACCCACCAACGAGATCGGTTGTAGCAACCTAAAATAAAAAAGGGAAACCCTCAAGACTGAATCTGGTCCGGGGTAAACGAGGGCTGTTCTGAACTTCATGCCATCTCCCTAAACACAACAGTGAAGTTTGTGGAAAGCTTCCTGGAAACTAAGTATAAGAAAGTGCGCTTGCTGTCTGTTGTTCATTGCCCTAGTCAAAACAAAGACAAATTGCCCCATACATATACAGTTGCACATACAAGAGCCAAGAGAAAATTTGAAAAGTCTATGATTAGTGATTTATCCCTTTCTCTAACTGAACGCATTATGTATTTAAATCCAAACGAGATAAATGAATATGTGACATGCAGCATGTCAATGCCATATTCGGGTTTTTAGTTGGTACAAACTGCGTGTTAGTAACCCGACGTAGCTTAAGCCTCCTTATTTCCGCCTAGCCACCCATTGATTCCCCATGTGCTGTGTCCCTTGTTCAAGATTATATCAATATTATTGTAGATACTTTCTCAGGGATGACCAAAATCCAAAAATGATCAACTTTTCTTCATTTTCATTCTCCTCTTCAGCGGGGTTGAACAGTATCCTCCGAGACTTGAAAACTCTTTTAAATGTCGGTGTTGCAGCAGTTATCTTTGTCATTCTGAAATTGAGCTGGCGCTTAGCGAGCCAAATCTATCCAAGCGCTTAGTACTTTCTTACATTGTTCGTATAGATGAAAAGCAGCTACCTCACGTGACTCCTTTTTTGAAAGTAGGTATCTACATGCAGTGGCAGATTACATTTGACAGACATAAAAAAGAAGAGGTAAAGCCTCGTTTCGGTCAGGTGCAACTACGAACTTGTTGAGGTTGTCAATAACTGGCCATAGATTGCTGGACTCAAGGGAAAATAGCCTGACAGTAATAATTTGGTCAACATTGATGAAAAATTGACTATCTGGCATAGCAAAATCACTGAAACCTCAAGGGCTGCCGGGGGCTGCAAGGCCTCAGCGGTGGGGCGGTCTTCATGTGCGCAGGAGTGAACCTTGAAATTCTGCAGAGGGTTGATGGACTACAGATGGCTGGCAACAGATTTCCAGGAAGGAACTAACTTTTTTCTAAATAATATTGTTTATGGCTGATTACAGCCCTATCTCATTGTCGACGCTTGAATGCATAAGTGTCGGCAGCAGATATCTCTCGACGCTGGCTATTAAACCTGCGGAAATCGGTTATTGCAGCAGCATATTTGATTGTACATGTTTCCGAGGAACTGTTCG